GGGATGATTATTGCCCAAGCCTTATAAGGAGTACACCATCTCATTAACCACCAATGTGGGACTTTTGTCATTCTTTAACATAACTAATACCTTTTGCGAAAACTATCTGATTTTTTCAGTTTTTCACTCTTCTTAGCTATAGTACTGAAAGAGTTGGTACAAAGCTATCTGGCAAATGATCCCTGCAAGTAGTTTTTGGTGTTTCAAAGAAAGAAATCGCAAATGTTTTGATGGAGCTTCAACTTCAAGTCACTCTCTGAAAGCTAAATGGTCTACTCTCTTCTTTTTTCTGGAGATATTGGTCTTTATAAATTATATTGATCAGTTCTTTGGATTTTGTTAGCTCCCTGAACTTATGATTGGAATGTCTTATGTAATGGAGCTAATTTTTTCTTTTGTACCTAATGCAAATTGGTGCAGAGGTGTATATCATTTATCAAATGGAGTAATTGGTGTAAGTTGCAATGCATAAATATTATTATGGGTGCGAAATCCGAAAGGGTAAGCTTATTTCTTTTCATGGATATGAATCAAGTCTAAGTTGCTCGGACTCGGGTGAGGGTCTCCGATACGGGTGCGGATCTAGAGGTCGGATCTTTCATGATCTAATTTTTAAGATTCAGGGATATGGATCCATGTATGGATACGGGTGCGGGATTCACCTAAATGTAATTAAAATATCTAAATAGAGTTATAAAACCTAAATTATGAGATATTATGTGGAGAACTTGAGGAGAATCTTGGAAGGAGATTAAAGGAAAACGAGTGACATAGAAATTTCTATATAAAATGTATTCCATTTTCTTCAATTTCCCCTTAGCTTTTGTATTGATTATAGAAATCATTAAAACTGTCCAGTCTTTCTCCATCCATTTTGGTCATAGTACCCAAAATTAGTTGACCAAATCGGACACGGATCCCACACCCACACCCACACCCATGTCGTGTCGACACGTGTGCGGCACCAAAAGTGAAGAGTCCGAGCAACTTAGAATCAAGTCGTCTGAGATGGACTACTAATCTTCAAATTGGTCAGGGAACCATACATGTAATGAATATTGTTATAAACAAGGATGGTAGACTGCCAACTCCCTTAGACCCGTATAAACAGACCATCATTTTCTTTTCAACATACTGTCCATATCTCCAAAGCAGAAACTATACTTGAATGCGGATTTGTGAAAATAGAGAAGTGTGCACTTGAGTGGGATCTATTCTTGCTTAGTTCTGAACTGGATGCTGGTTGAGAATTAATTAGCCCAATCTCCTTTTGGAGGTCCATTCTAGCTGAGTTGGCAGAATAGTAGATAAAATACAGGTATTAGTGGCTGCAGCAATAACAAAGTGGCTTTTAACATAGTATGTTTCTTGCAGGAATCATAAAAGGGGTGCTGATTGTGAAGTATCTTTCTTAGTTTATGAAGAAACTGATAGCGATAATGTGCTAGGCACCACTAACCCATTGATGTTCTGATTTAGATGCTGCTAATGTTTGTTGCATGGCCATGGCCGTAAAAATTCTTACTGTCCAAGGATTCTCTACTCTATGGCATAATATTCTCCCTAATTTATTTTCTTTGACATGCAAAAAGAATTCATTGGTTTCCCCTTGAGGAGCTTGTTCTTGCTTTTGTAGACTTTGAACTTTCATGTTATGTTCTTGGTGCAGCAATTCCTGGAACATATCTAATGAGTTCATAATCTCCTTTATCTGTCACTACAGGTGTATCTCCAGACCGGGAATCTGTGGAGTCTGGCGCAAAAAAATCCAGTATATCTTCAGGTGGCAGGGTTCATGATCGGAAAGAGTTTCTCCATAGGTTTGTAGATAGTGAAAGCCTGACCGAAAACCTTAAAACGTGGTATGAAGAAACAATAGAAAATTCAACTCATAAGGAACCCTCATTTGATGTCCCTTTTGAGTTGATAGATCTTCAAAAGTTCGATTATGCTTTGGGAGGAGTTCCATTTCAGCAGCTGATTCGTATGCCTAGTGCTGTTTATGCCTCGACTTCTGGTGCTGCGGAAGCAACTGCTTATCTTGCTCTGGAGGATTTTTTACATGCAAGTGTGAAAGGTTTGTGGGAGGCATTTTGGGGTCAGGATGAAACTTTGCCTTTCTATGTTTCTTGCGTCTATAATTCAAACCTGAGATTTTATCAGGCTGAGAAAGCCATTTCGAAAGGGAGGCTAGGAGGTCTTTGTGCCACAGCTGTAATGCTAAAAAATCCAAGGCATCCACAAGGGAAGTGGGATGATATTCTGGAACTTGCTATTCTAAGGTCTGATATTGGAAACCTTGCTACAGTAGAGAATGACTGTAAACCTTGTCTCTCAATTTTAGGCGAAGCTTTATTCTTTGCTCTAAGAGTATTGGTTGCAAGAAGCATCAGCAGATCCAATATTCCTCTCAGTTTGAATTCAGTTTTTGTTCTTTTAGTTGACACTCAATATGGTGGAGTCCTAAAAGTTGAAGGAGATACAAGCAAGTTGGAAATGGATTTGAATGATGTATATGGTTGTGCTGCTGAATGGATAAAGAATAATGCTTTAATTACCATTTCTCCCATCGATAGGATCTGGAACAAGCTTGGAAATGCTAATTGGGGGGATATTGGGGCTTTACAGGCACTTTATGCGACCTTCCACTCAATCACACAATATGCTGGAATGTCAAAGAATTCAATTGAAGATTTGGCTGCGGACCACAGTGCTCGGCTTCAGGCAAGAAGAATTGAAAGACAATTGGGGGATAGCTGGGTGAATGGAAATGGTTTGTTTCGCTACCAGCAGCGTAGTGCTTCACCTGAAATTGTTGAAGTACATGAAGAGTCATTCAGGCTAGAACCTGACAAGTCCATGAAGCTGGAAATCGGTTCTGTTGTGCTGATAGAAGATTCAAACTGGAAGAAGGATTATCAGATAAATGAAGTCCTAACAGATGGAGAAATTCCATATTATATTGCATCTTCTGTCGAAGATCCTGGTACGATTTCATTTTTATATGTTGGTTCACATCCTTCTCTGCTGGAACCAGCGTGGGAAGACATGAAGCTGTGGTATCAAGTTCAGAGGCAGACAAAGGTATTGGGCGTTATGAAGCAAAAGGAGTTGTCTAGCAAGTATCTACCTCAGTTGGATGCATCTGGGCGGATAATTCACCCTGGCCAATGCAGGAGACCAAGCTCGGGAGGTAACTGTGATCGTCAATGGTGTGGAACTCCAGTTTTAGTGACTAGTCCAGTGGGCAGAACGGTTGCTGATTTGGTGAGACTTGGCCAATTTGGTAGTGATGAGGCTATTAGATGTTGCCATGACTGCTTATCTGCCCTTTCTGCTGCTGCCTCAGCTGGCATTCGGCACGGCGATATCAGGCCTGAGAATGTTATTTTTGTTAATTCTGGTGTGAGGCAGCCTTATTTCGTTCTCATTGGTTGGGGACATGCTATTTTAGAAGAGAGGGATCGTCCTGCAATGAATTTACATTTCTCCTCTACCTATGCCCTTCAAGAAGGGAAACTGTGCTCAGCCTCTGATGCAGAGAGTCTGGTGTACATGCTTTACTTCTCTTCTGGTAGTAACATGCCTAATTTGGATTCAGTTGAAGGGGCACTGCAGTGGAGAGAAGCCTCTTGGTCAAAAAGGTTGATCCAACAGAAGCTAGGAGATATTTCTGCTGTTTTGAAAGCATTCGCAGATTATGTTGACAGCCTCTGTGGAACGCCATATCCTATGAATTTTGATATCTGGCTCACAAGGTTAAAGAGACATATTCCTGAGGAAGATCATGGAAAGCAGATTGATACCTCGAGTTAGAGATTTTGTTTTCAGCTATGGAAGGAAGCCTTGCAGCACGAATACTTTGTGTCTCGACAGTCTTACAAGATCTCCAGGAGTATAGGAAGATGGATCCCTTCAATTAGTAGGTCCTCAATGCTGGGCAGGAGTTCACGTAGGCGTCTACCAACTTGAACATTAAATCAACCTGTGCTTCCTGCATCTTTTAGAAACTTGAAGTTTAACAGTTAATGGTCCCTGGAGCATGCGGTGCTCATTAGCTATCCAGCTTTTGCATTTGTGAACAGTTACAGAGGTGTTTTTCTTTTTTTTCTTGTGTCAAATGTGATTATTTGTTGTAAAGACAGGAACTTGCTGAGATTTCTCTGAGTGAGATATGTGTGATTGTTTACTTTACAGACTTTTAGGAGTAGGACACTGTTCAGTATATTATTCCTACATCTGTACATGGAATATCAATTTCTGTGCTTCATGAATATTCCTGGTGTAGTTGAATTATGTTGCTTACTGAGTAATTTCTTTGTACGGAAACTTACATGTAGATATCGTTTGGATGACTTGTTCGTTTAGCTCAATGCATTCAACAACATGTAAAATTGTTTTTCAAACCACAAAATCAGTAAACTTGAACTTTATTTCATGATCATTCTTTCCGTTTAGCAGTTAACTTTATCTGAAATCTCAAACCATTTCATAATTATAAAAATACTATCTTAAAACTACCTTGTTTTGCTTTTATCTCAATTTGTTCATGATGACGCATTAAACGTAAAAATAAAATAAATATTCTACTTGTTTAAATTGAAACATCAAACTCACACCCGTAATATTACAACATTATAGAAGCTTAGCTCTGATGACCCAACCCTCAGGAGGCAGTGGCACCCTAATCGAAAGCTCTGATATCGCACTTAAAGATCATAAAGAGTAAAAAAAAAAATGTAAGTGGCGTTAGTTATTGTGATGCTCAAACCTTTAGGATGCATGTGGCAAACAATATTATCTTAATAAATTCCAATCATTACTACCTTTGTACGTTTTCAAATAATAATGACAAGAATGAACAACTTTATTATTTAATAATCGCAAGTTTTGAAAGAAACTAACTCTATGTTTATCATCATTTCTTGTATCTCTTTGTTTCTCGTAATATATGGTAGGTATGAAAGTGAAATGAAGTATAATCCAACCGAGAAGGGGAGACCGTTTAACATTCTTTATAGACCAAAGATTACTACAAGAAAATTAACAACAAAAATCAGATTCATCGTTTTAAAATGCAAACTAATACTCTGGATTTTCAAACTTGGGAGTTGTAAAGCTTACAGTTCAGAATTACAAGATACTATAAATCGCTTTCATCATCAACATTGATCATCATAGTGGTGGCAAATCCCGTTAACAACCAATCTTATCTGAACCCTTAATCGGCATCCATCTCCTCAAGTGCAGCTTTAGCTGCAGCCTTTGCTTCCTCTAAAAGATTATCAGGAACCTACAAACAATAACATCAGTATTTTAGAGTAACATTTGATACTAACTCCTTTGTGTCAGTCAAACTACCCTTAAAAAAATGAAAGAATAAAAGGGAATAGGTGACTTTATAGAAGGATATACTGATTTACCTTCTGATGTTGGCGGTTAGACTCATCACATACCCAGCTCATTTCAAGTTCAAATGCCTTGTCCTTTGCCTCATCATGTACTCCATAAATTCTGCTTGCAAACAAAACATGTTGTCAAAACACTGAAGGAGAAAGTATTTTACCACTAAGCATTGAACCAAAAAAATTTGAAGAGTTAAATTTTAGTAGTTGATGGAATCAGCGAAAACCCTTTAGGATGGTCAACCCATCTCCAAGAATGACTCTCGTATGGACTACAGTTCTTCAAACGAAGTTTTTGTATAGACATTGTTCAACTTGAGGAAACATGCAGAAAGCATAAATTGACGCCTTAATCTTTTGAAAATATAAACCACAGATACCAGAAATAAAAACATGTCTTCCAGACTACGAGATGGAATACAAATACGATTTCAGGCAGAACTAAGATTATTCTACATAGATCACAATGACACATTTTCAAATCAAAGCTAAAGTGGTGGAACCACAGGGGAATATGTACAGTAATCGAAGGTCAAAGAGCAACAAACATGCTTAAGCTTAACTTGATTTGGAGGTAGTTCTCAGTGTCAAAAGACATAAATAATCATCTGTTGACAATCAGATCAAATTGATAAATACAATAATGTTGCAAATGATGAAATTCAATTGGAACAATTACTTACATTTTAGCTACCTCAATAATCCCTTGTCGACAGGTCATTTCAGATAACTTTAACTTCTCAATTTCTCTGCATATCACACAAGTATTATGTCACATAGCATAAAGAAAATATAGTGCAAAGCAAGCCAAAAGAATAACAAATTAAAATGCTAGATTACATATAAGGGAACACTTGATTGGATGACCTTATCACCATTTTTACTTCTCGACTCGGACTGCATAATGAACTACTCCCTATGTCCTGGGTTATTACTCGTATGCCTATACCACTAGATCATCCCCATAGGACTGATTAAATGCATGTCTTTTATGCAGAGTAGACAAGTACTGTGTGAAAGCTTATGGCACCAATCAAAAGATGCTGGAGGTAAATCACTATCTCGAACTTTCATGCCAGAGAGAAGAATATAAGACAATCGGCTTGTCCTTGCTGTAGCAGTTGATAATTCAATCCACACAATTTGTTTGTAGAAGTCAAATCTCAATCAAGATCTAAATAAGCTAACTAATGGTGTAACTCACACTTACTGATACACTTAAATAGTTTGGATACGTGCTGTCAATTGTCATTGACAATAATATGCTGGATTTCTATTTTTGAAAACCGCAGACCTATTGGCAAAGTTGGAGAATAAAAACCCAACCACCACACCATGCAGGATTGTAGGAAAAACATATCAATGTACTAAAGTGTTTTGTGTTGAAGTGTAGGAATATCATTCTACATTACCTACTATATGAATGTGATTTACAGTTCTTGAGTTATTAGTAATTTAATTTTGAGAATTAACAGTCAACACAAATTTCATCAGTCATCACAAGAAATATATGAAGATTTGAATCTGGAAGTTCAGATGTCGAGAACAGAACTACACACTTACGTTTTAGCAGCTTGCCTTCCCTTTCCAATAGCAGCACCGAAGTACCTCTACAACATATGCAAAGTATATTCACATATTAAATAAAGAAAATGTAGTAGGACCAGATCATAGCAAGGAAATAAAACATAAACTGTCTTTTTATTTTTGGGGATAACTGATAAGTAGAAAATAAATCATAAATTGTTATCGGAATTTAAGAGTAGAGTCCAGTGGAGCAAATATCTCTTGTAATTGAGAAAACAACTCAACTCACATAGGAGACACCAGAAGGCTCAACCAGGTATAGTTGAGGTCCATCTCTATCATACCCTCCAAGAATCACCCCACATCCAAAAGGCCTGTAGCAAGTACACCAAAAGTTTCACATATATGCAAAAAAAAAAAAAAATTAAAAGAAGAAATTTCTTTGATAAGTTTTACAAATAAAATAATCGTCAATATACAAATGGCTGTACATAATCCTACAAACCTGAGCCACCAATACAGTGTGCATAAATGCACATAACTAGCAACACGCTCTGCAAGTTCTTTCACTGGAATTGGCTCACCATATACACTGCAAATTGCAGAACCACCAACAAGAGACAGAAAATTAGGGGTGACCACCAAGAAGAAACAAGCTCACTAGAAAAAAAGGTATTTTTCAGCACTATACAAATTTTATGTTGAGACATTAAGAACCTTTTACACAAAAAACACATTGCAGAGCATCCCAAAAAAGCCAAGAGCACTTTGTGAGGAGGGATATTGTTATACAGTGAGTTAGAGCCTGTTTGGATTGACTTAGTTTTGTAACTGGGAATTGAAGGTCTCCAAATGTTACTCCTAACTACAAAAAGTTAGCCCAAGAAGTGACCTTACCATTCAAAGCCATCACACAATGCACAGACACTTCATTAGGTTTTTATTCTATTTTACGCTTATTGGATGCTACTCTATGTAATTATCACTATTGAGATACCATAGACACATCAAATACTTTCATTTGTAATTCTATTATATGCATATAGTGATTCAACAAGATAATTGATGATTCCGTTCATTGATTGAAGTTATGAGTGGGAAATAAACTTAATTTCTTTAGATTTTGTACATGATCATCATTTAGTTATTTCACAATGAATAAGAAAGCCCATGAATGTTATATGTAGGAGAACCAGAGGGCAAAACAAAATTCACACACAGAGATGCAAGTACATATATTTATATTGTTTACAGACACAGTGGCTTTAAGCAAACCTTTCAAAGCTGGTTGCTTCAGACTTGGCTCGGGCAACAATCTGCCTCCCATCTGCAGCCAAACCTGCAACAGCCTGTATATAAAGAATAAAGCAGTATGGAGAAAGTGAATCACCATTCAAGAATGACGGAATGTGGCAACCGCTTCCACCAACACATGTGCTAGGTAACTTTATTTATCAACGCTGTCTACAAAGGCATTGAGAGATGGAAAGAAATCACCTAGCATTTTTTGCCACAACTAGGATGTGAACCTAATTTTGACTGTGATTTATGTACCTCAATCCAGAAAGTTTTTTTAGGAATTAAAAAACTCATCATAAGGAAGACACATAAAGACAAGCCCTAAAGATGTCACTTCACCTCCACCTACCCACCCCCCACCCACCCAAAAAAGACGAAGTATTACCAAAACTCAAAGTATCTAGATGCTAATCAGCACCATAAGCAAACACAATGATAGACTATACAGAGGAGCAATACTTAGAGCCTCGAGGAACCACGTGATTCTCCTGCCTCTAATCATTGCTCAATTATACCACATCTCTGCCATTCTTGTTTATGTATATGAGAGATGGCAAAGATCCTCTAGGAAAAATACCAAACTTCTATAACCTCAAGGATAAAAGGGCCAGCTTTTATACAAAGATCACACAAGTCTACCACTCCATCTAAAGACGTGCAACAGCTACCACTGAAAACCTAAATAATTACAAAAACTTAGTGATAATTTCTGTAGACATGCAACAGCTAAAAAAGTCTACTACTCCATCTAAGAATCACAATTTTGATAATTTCTGTCAATAGTGCCATTTCTAGACAACACATGAAGCGGTTGATTTTCCATAAAAACTGAAGCAATTTTACTTTCAAATATAGGTAAGAACTGAAAAGGAGAACAAACTGACCCCTTCAAAAGTTTTTCCATTTATTTACCTCTCAACATCCCCTAACTAAAAGTTCTCTAGTTCACATAGATTATTTTGACTTTATTTGCAATTTCATACTGCTTCTGTGACCTTAGTTACTTAAAGCTCTGAATTTCTTCTTCTTCTTTTTTTCTTTTATTAGTAAAGCTCTGAACTTTCTTATGTTGAAGTTTCAATGCAAGCACCTCAATATGCACATCATTACAAATTACTTTTATAAACTCAGTTACTTTAAAGCTCCAAAATTTCTTATGATGAGGCTTGGAGTTTACTTATATGAACCTTCCCTGCTGAGAAGGGAGATTACAGAACTTGATAATAAAGAAAGCTTTCTCAAACTTCGATTCCCAAGAACATACACATATAAAGCTCACAACTTTTCAGTTTGATATTTGAGATAACTAAATCAGAACTATTTGCCAACCCAAAATAATGCTCCTCTAATTTAATTATTCAAAATAACTCCTTCTATCAGATGGTACTAGAACCTAGAAACTGAGCTGGCACTAAAATCAGGAGTCAATCAACTTTGCCTCAATCCAAACTAATTAGACTCCCCTATATGAATACTATGTATTTAACTACCACTATGAACTAATCCAAAGAACAGATAAAGTTGAAAAGCTATGGTAGATTGACAGCCTGCAAAACATTAATGATAGTATGATACATCCTCTAAACACTGAACGGAAACATACCATGCCGGAATGGCGATGAACAGAATGAATTCGACGATTTGATCCTGGTAACATCATTTTGGAGGCTATTAGCTTCTCCACTCCCTATAATCCAATTCTCAAATCCATAAAAAAACCCTAACTTTAATACAGAAAAAAGAAACAGATAAATTCCAATCGACAAAAAGGTAATAGGATCAAACCAAGACGATTCCATCCTTGCATTTGATTCCAACAACAGTACCACTGTTATCGACTGCTTTTCCGGCGTATTCGATCTGAAATACTCTGCCGTCCGGCGAGAATGTCGTCACCGATAGATCATATCCGGTTCCTATGCTACTCATATTTGCCTTTCTTCTTCTCTACTACAGCTTCAGTTGAGCTCAAAGTTTTGTGCTTTGCAGCTCTCTAATAGAGTTTTCTTTGTTCTCAAGACACACACTAGTGTAGACTCAAAAACAAAGACGCAAAACTTTGTTTTCAATTAATTTTAGCCTGGATAAAAAAAGCAAAAATAATCAAATTATTTACAAGGAATATGATCCTATTATTCTATTTTATTTTTTTTATTACAGAGTTAACGTCAAAAAAATAAATCTACTTTCTTTTCTCAAATTTTACATCACAACTAACTATTCATTATTGTTATTTTTTCCTACTCGAACTATCATCATCCAGGGGCGGAGCTAGCTTATACTCCCTCCGTCCACAATTGTTTGGCAGGTATACTAAAAATAGATGTCCAAGATTAATTGTCAATTTAAACAATCAAGAAATAATTAGTCATTTTTTTCCAATTATACCCTTAATGATAGTGTAGTTCAATTGAAAAGTTATGCGGACTTTTGGTATTCTTGATATAGTAGGGTTATATTAGTCAAATTACACCTTGTATTAAATTTTCCTTGAGGGGTGTGCATGACCTTACCCTAACAAACAATTGTGGATGGAGGGAGTACATGGTTAAAATAATTTTTTAGGTATATATAATAAATGTCGAACCCCCTTCGGCTACTTCGTGTGTCTATTTCTCTAGATTTTGAATCCCTTTATTGAAAATCTTGGCTCCGCTACTGTCATCATCTATGTATTAAAACATGTCTCAAGATTGACTAGGTCAACTATCTTTTTTCCTGCTTGAACTATAAACGTCTATGTTTTTATTTGAACAATAATGAAATAGTCTATAAATGGAATGTGAACTCGCGACAAAGTGATAATTTGGACGTGAACATTATCTCTTGTTCTTTGGGGCAACTTAACTAATTAAACAAGTCAATTTATGTACTAAACTCTAGTGATATATCAACAATTCATTACATCAAATAAATGACATTTGATCATTAAATTTTTTTTAATGTTATTATTGTTTTTGTTTTTCGATTATTGGTATATTCTATTTTTTATGTTTCAAACCACAACTTACTCTTTAGAAGTTGGTAGTTTTTTTTTCTTTCTTTTTGAAGCATAGTTTCACACCAAAAGGTCTTTGTATCAATTGTGAGGTTGGCTTCATCTTTGCAACAACTCCTGATGAAAGGATTCTTTACATTTTCAACATCTCCTGATGAAAGCAATAGTAACCATTTCATTAAAGTTCACAACTAATGGCTGTGCTGGTGATGAGGCTGAATTTCCGCAGTTTGCAGAAGAAACAGGTAACAATTTTCTGTCTGTAAATTGTATAAACGATTTAAGAGCTTCTCTAAAACAACGTACCAAGTGTAATCCCACAATTTAAGAGCTTCTGTTATCTGTCAAATGTCTGCAATTTCACTACTCTTGTTCATGGTCGTCTAATATAAGAGTGTGCTTTGTTTTTTGGAAAATTTATCATGGAATTAGCATATGCTACAGTTGCAGCTTCAGCTGCAAATCTCTCAATAAGTTTGATGTGTATATAGTTTATTTGCGGGCAGATCATTATGTTCATTCTTTTTGTACAAAAGAGCTAAAGGATGTGGGAAGCGCGGAAGATGTTTTGTCAAGTGCATGTTGGCCCTCTGAGTCTTGACTCGTCAAAGAAGAAAACCTTCATCAATTGAAGAATGCCTAATAAATGAGACCAGTGAAGATGAAAACTTTTAATGATGTACTCACAAGAAATTCATTCTAGATAATACAAGGGAGTGTCCTCTATGCAGGAAACTGTTTCTTGAATACACTATATAACTTACAACAATGAACATGGACCTCTATGTGAAAACAAAACAACCGAGATTCTGTTTCTCGTGAAAATGAAATTAGTAGGTAAGTTGTGGTTCAAACTCTGCAAAATCAACTGAACCTGACTCAATAGGTTTCATGAGATATGCAGCCAATAACTCAGAAGCCAAAGCTGCAATCAGAGGGATCTTTTTGAAATTCTTCACCAGTGGAATCTCATCACTCTCACTAACAGCAATTAGTTTGGTGTTAATCTCCACCATCCTGTCCAACTTCCTCTTGAATTCTGGGTTCTCAACATCAAGGACAGCAGGGAAAATCCTTGCAGTTGTGCGGTTTGTCTGCACAAGAAAAGATTTTTAGAAAGGTTAGTGAAGCAAATATATTTATGCCAGGAACCAATAGTTTAACAATTTACAAGGTACCAACAGCAGGTACTACTTAACGTGGACAAGGTACATATACAAATGTGCGGATAACTCGTGTTAGTAACATCTAAAAAGTGTCTCTCTCCCCACAGGTGAACATGGTATTCAAAAAAAATTGTAAGAACATCTGTTCATTAAGACAACCTCTCACTTATGACACATAACCCTGTAAGCAATATAGAACTTACGATGCTAAGCAGGCTAATGAAAACGGAAATCTCGTTCAATTTTGTTATAATGAAATGCAATTGAAATCGAATTGCAGTATCTATGGCATGCTAATCAAGCAACAGTAAAGGAAGAGTAAGATACAGCCAATTGATCACCTCAATGATGACATGCATGTCAAATTCTTTGGTGTTAAGCCCAATGCCTTCGTAAAAATCTGTTCTTTGGCAATCATTCAAGTACATTGTGACATAAACCTGCATTTTGGTAAGCACAAGTAAGATTATTATCAAAACTATGTAGAAGGCAATGTAAAAAGCCTTTTCAAGTTGGCTTATCATAATGAAAGGATACTTCAAATGCAGGTGGTTAATTACCGAAAGGCAGAAGAAGCGAGACCACAGCTTTGCCTTCCAGTCATTGAGAAACTGAGGCTGTGCTTTCATCAAAGCAGAGAAGAAATCACCATGGCGGTTCTCATCTTGGCACCAGTTCTCGAAGTACTTGAAAATCGGATAACATATGAACTCAGGATTGGTCTTGAGATGCCTGTATATAGTAATGTACCTCCAGTACCCAATTTTCTCAGACAAGTAAGTTGCATAGAAGATGAACTTTGGTTTGAAGAAAGTGTATTTTCTTGCTTTGGTCAAGAACCCCAAGTCCAACGCCAAATTGAAGTCAGATAAACCCTTGTTCAAAAACCTGCAAAATTCCAACCAGCCAAACCTTCTCAATACTCGTAAAGTCTAAGTGATTTTCCCTTAGGGAAATGCATGTCTGATCAAGCATGCCCAAAGAGAGTAAAATATGAGCTTACCCAGCATGGCGAGCTTCATCCCTAGACATGAGGGAGAAAATCTCTGCAACAACAGGATTAGTTTTCTGCAGACATAATTCAAATGTTAGTTGGTGGTAGTAACAGAAGTGTAACTATTCAACATTCAAAAATTTATTGAACTATCCACCTTTCTAAACTTTTATGACCATGATTTAGGTCTCAATTGTGAATATTTAACACAACACTATAGAAGTAAATTTTGTCAGTAGAGTAAAAAGCACAAACCTTTTGTTCCTTTTTCTTTATTACTTCTACGTTTCAATTTGTTTGTCTGGTTTTTTCACTTAAATTTTTTGAATCTCGTGGTCTTAAACTAAAGATACCTAGGAAGACACATTTTTTAAAAAAACAGACTAAAAAAGGCTAAACAGCAATATAATCAAACTATAACTTAAAAGTGGCTGCACAGCTCTATAATCTACAAATTAGAAAAAGATTCAAACTTTACTTCAATAGAAGCCAAATATAACCTAGACAAGCTTAGCTCAAATAAACAAAATTACTACTATCAGATTTTCACAAAAGGTAAAACAGAAAAACTATAACAAGCTGGATAATAAAAAACTAATAGCACACTCACTAAGCTAATTCATCAGATAGTTTAATTAATTATGCTAATTTCAGAACAAAAAATTCTCAATAAATACATACCTTGAGCCTCCTTCCAAGTTCCTTGTAGAGAAGAAAACCAGAGAACTCAGCAGTGCAAGACCTCTCCAAGAATTCAACAAAGATCTGCCTTAGAGGTCCCTGAATTTTGTCAGCAGCTTCTTTAAACTCCTTGTTCCTAACAAAATGAGTCTGGTTGTAATCAGTTTTGAATTCCTGCAAAAGGGCTTCAAACTCAGCCTCATTCAGGTTCTTGTTGATCTCAGTGTTGAAAAGGGTCTCCATTTCATCAAAATCAGTAGTGTAAAATCTTGGTGTCAAAAGGGACTCTTTGATTCCTTGCTTCTGAGGTTTCTTGGAAGGTTTTGAAGTTGGTGGGGTGGTGGTGGCGGCTGACATTCTAACTGTGAACGGCAGTCTGCGGTTGCTCAGCCGTGCAGTGGTGGTGTTAATGGTGTTGAATTTGGTTATGGGTTTTACTAAAGCCATTTCTGCTGCCATTTTTTTCAAGAACTTCAGCAGAAAGATTGGTTCTTTGAAGCTAAGGAGAATTGGGATATGAAGGGTGGAGAACGGATATATGAATTTTAGATGACAGTGATGGAATCTAATCTCATCCAATGAAATCTTGTTGGTTAAGTGGGTTTCTGACACGTGGCATGTTATGATGGGTCAGCTTGATTACATGGTAGCTTTGTAAAGTTTGTATCTTTGTGTCTTTTGGGAAGTAGTAGTAATTGTGGTCTATGTTTCTCCATGTAGATTTCTCAAGATATCAACCTAGTATTAATGGTTGAAATTCTTTTTTTTAGTTTAAAATGTATATGAGTTTCTTTCATGTGGTCTATTTGATTGGTTAATATTCACTACAGGTGTCTCCACGGGTTCGACAAAATTCAATAGCTAAACTGTAATTAGTAAAATTCAAAATCGTAACCCAGCCTCCGCTCTGAGTCCTCTGTTAGGTAATTTGAGAGAGAGAGAGAGACACTATTTTCTTTGCAAATTGGTGAGAGACTAACAATTTTTAGTTTTTCTGTCATCACTTGTAGTAACTTTCCACCCTTAGTTATTGTTTGTTCTTATCTTGCTTTGGTTCCATAGCTAAACTAGTCCATATGGATCAAATTTTATACAAAAAAACAAAAGG